AAAAAAAAAAAAAAAAGATCTCAGGCGGTGCCTGTGGCTCCAAGGAGTAGGGTGCTGGCCCCATATACTGGAGGTGGTGGGTTCAAATCTGGCCTCACCAAAAAGAAAGATCTCAAATCAGGCAGCACCATAGCTCAGTGGGTAGGGTGCCATCCATGTATACCGAGGCTGGTGGGTTCGAACCCAGCCCAGGCCTGCTAAAACAATAATGATAGCGCAACAACAACACAAAATAGCCGATGTTGTGGTAGGCGCCTGTAGTCCCAACTACTGGGAGGCTGAGGCAAGATAATTGCTTAGGCCCTGGAGTTAGAGGTTGCTGTGAGCTGTGATACCACTGTACTCTACACAGGATGACAAAATGAAACTGTCTAAAAAAAAAAAAAAAAGACAAAAGATGGCAAGTATTAGGGAAGATATGGAGAAAAGGAAGCCCTCATACACTCTGGTGAGAATGTAAACTGGTACAGCCATAATGGAAAACAGTATAGTGATTCCTCTAAAACTTAAAAATAGAACTACCACATGATCCAGCAATCCCAACTCTGAGTATATATCCAAAGGAAATGAAATCAGTATATCAATGAGATATATGTATTCCCATGTTCATTGCAGCATTATTTACAATAACCCAGATGTGGAGGCTCGGCTCCTGTGGCTTAAGTGGCTAAGTCGCCAACCACATACACCCAACGTGGCGGGTTCAAATCCAGCCCAGGCCCACCAAACAACAATGATGGCTGCAACCAAAAAATAGCCAGGCATTGTAGCAGGCGCCTGTAGTTCCAGCTACTTGGGAGGCTGAGGCAGGAGAATCGCTTGAGCCCAGGAGTTGAAGGTTGCTGTGAGCTGTGATGACACAGCACTCTATGCAGGGCAACAGCTTGAGGGTCTTTCTCAAAAAAAAAAAAAAAAAAACACCACCTAGATATGGAATCAACCAAATTGATCATCAACAGATAGATGAATGGGTAAAGAAAATGTAGTACATATACACAATGAAATACTATTCAGCCTTAAAAAAAAATGAAATCCTTTCAGTTGTGATAACAACAATGAACCTGGAGAACATTATGTTAAATAAAAGAAACCAAGCATAGAAAGACAATACCACATGATCTTCACCTATGTGTTGATGTGGAATTTAAAATAATTGAACTCACATAGAGAGAAAGTAGAAGGGTTGTTAATAGGAGCCCTGGGCATTAAGGGGGAAGGCTGGGGAGATGTTGGTCAAAGAATACAAAATGTCAGCTAAATAGGAGAAATAAGTTCAAAGTTCAAAAGATCTATTTATTGTACATCATGGTGACTACAGTTAATAACAATGTACTGTGTTCTTAAAGATCAATAACAGGGCTCGACGCCTGTGGCTCAAGTGGCTAAGGCGCCAGCCACATACACCTAAGGTGGTGGGTTCAAATTCAGCCTGGGCCTGCCAAACAACAATGATGGCTGCAACCAAAAAATAGCCAGGTGTTGTGGTGGGCGCCTGTGGTCCCAGCTACTTGGGAGGCAGAGGCAGGAGATTTGCTTGAGCCCAGGAGCTGGGGGTTGCTGTCAGCTGTGATGCTACGGGGATAGCTTGAGGCTCTGTCTCAAAAAAAAAAAAAAAAAAAGATCAATAACAGAGCAGATCTTAAGTATTCTCATCACAAAAAGATGATGAGTGTATGAGGTAATATATGTTAATTAGCTCAATTTAGCCATTTCACAATGTACATATATTTCAAACCAATATGCTATACATGATAAATCTACATAATTTTTGTCAATTAAAAAAACAAGTAGGCTTGGCACCTGTAGCTCAAGCAGCTAAGGTACCAGCCACATACACCAGAGCTGGCAGGTTCGGCCTGGGGCCTCCAAACAACAATGACAACTACAACCAAAAAAATAAAAAATAGCTGGGCGTTGTGGCAGGTGCCTGTACTCCCAGCTACTTGGGAAGCTGAGGCAAGAGAATCGCTTAAGCCCAGGAGTTGGAGGTTGCTGTGAGCTGTGATGCCACAGCACTCTACTAGGGCAATAGCTTTGAGGCTATTGAGCTTCTGAGGCTCTGTCTCAAAAAAAGGTTGCTGTGAGCTGTGATGCCATGGCACTCTACCTAGGGCAATAGCTTTTGAGGTTCTCTCTCAAAAAAATTTAAAAAGTAACATTGTAGACCTAAAAAAAATAAAAGGAAACTAATAAACTGGAACAAATGAAGTTTGAAAAAGGAAATGTAAAGGAGAAAACTTCTGAAAAAGGAACATATTCATGCTGGGCATGGTGGCTCATACCTGTAATCCCAACACTTTGGAGGCCAAGGTGGGCAGATCACAAAAAAAAGAAAAAGGAACGTATTTAAATAAGGTCTTTACAGATTATAAAACTCATGAAGGAACAATCAATATATGTCACATACCCTGTGCCCAACTTCATAAATACTGATTAAGAGGTATATGTAGGGAGAAGGCATTGAGTAAAGTTTGATGTAATACACATACACACCCACACACAAAGTAACTACTAAGGAGAGTAATCAAAGAGATAAAGTGGAAAGGTGGGGAGCCCTTGAAGTCCAGAATAAACAGGCACAAATCACAAATAAACAGAGCAAAGCCTCACCAGCAAGTATGTAGTTACAGTCTTCTTTACCAAGGTAACATGAATAATTGAGATCAAAATAAAGTCATTAACCTTAACCAAAAATAATCTTTCACCTGCAGAGAATAGCTACTAAAAGAGACTGAATCTCTTTATAGACACAGGGATCTGGAAGCAAGAACCCTGCTGGACAGAAACTAGCAAACTGGAACACTGAAATGATATAATCCAAATTCAATACTATTACAGCTCTTTGACAATCAAATGTCTAATATATGCACTCCAACAAACAGCTCATAGTATTCCCAGGTCTACATAATTTGGCAAGCCTACCTGATGGTGGTGAGGAGTGGAATCTGCGAGGATATACAGCTGCTGTCAAAGATTCTGCAAAATAAAGATTAAGAATAGAGCAGCACACTCTTTATTATATCTTAAAATTTTTCTGCTTTAGTATCAGTGTACTTACTAAGCTTCTCATTGGTTCATGACATGAAATATATTGTAATTTTAAAATATGTAGGGTCAGGCTCTAAGAAACCTCAGCTGATATATTAAAAGTTATAAAAAAAAAAAGTTACAAGAATATTATAAAATTCAATGCTTATAGTTCAGTGTTGAAATAATTTATTTAAACACTATTACACCAAACTTGAAATGTACATTCAAAGTGATAATCTGGACTCTAAAACTATATTCAGATTCATAATAATTTGGGACATACATAAGTGTAGTCTAAAAATGCACAAAGAACCTCTGAGGGCATGCATGTATCAAGAACAATTTTCCTCTGAGACTCATCAGTTAAAAGCTTGACAGTGTTATTTTCAGGTGCTGACCAGATTAAGACCAACCAGCAACCAAGGAAAAAAGTTCTAGGACAACTGGAGAGAAGTCCAGAAGGCTCCACTGAGCACCACAGAAGAAAGAACCTAGCCACATCACTGCCACCTCCCCTTCTTCTTGGGCCTACTGATCCTAAGGTGGTTTCTTGACATTAGAGCTTAATGCCTAAATAAATGACTAGAAAGCCAAACACTAATGGTTAATGTAACAAGAGTAAAACTTTGCAGTGTAAATGAACAGGAATGGAACAAAGGAAACTACATGGGTGGAAAGGAGACACTAGGATTCCATCTCCTGGACTAATTTTCTTACTACATCACCTGGTAATGCTCACAGACTTCACAGAAAATAATTGGGCATGTCACATACTGCAGACCATGCTCTTCCCAATAGGTGAGTCCAAGCTAAAGTTAGGTGCCATTCTGGAGCATGGCTCACAGTATACTCAAAAGATATTTGTTACGTGACTAACAAATTCCAAAATCACTTACGGTAAATGTCTCATTAACTGAGAAGTGCTTACAATATTAAGCAAAATCATGGATTCTAAAACAGAACAAAATAATTTTCCTTTGTGGTTACCCTAACATTCCCCCCATCTTTCTTTACTAACATTATTTTCTGGGTTTTCTTCAATTGGTTTACACTACATTTTTAAATCCATGTTTAGGAAGTAGCTATATATCAAAACTAAAACCCTAGAACTATAAAACTATATCTAATAGTTTACATGGAAATCCAAAACCTAATTTTTGCTGGGTTTTGCCTGCTCATGGTCAGGGTCTCTGTAATTTCCACTCAGCACATGGTACTTGTAGGGCAGCCCACAATCTCCAAAGTACACTAAAATTCTTTCCAAGATACCACCTAGCCTAGTTTCTGGATTCTTTGGTGATGAAAAGGAAAGCTGACCATCAACTTCCCAGGGTAGCTTTATTCCTTCTTTGCCATTCTCAAGGAAATTTCCCAGGATCCAAAAAACTGCTAAAAAGCCATCAAGTACAAGTCACTAGTCTTTGGGACCCTAGATTCAGCCACAAAACAGTAACACTCAGGATTAAAAAGGAAACAGCTATAAACAAACATTTTGGCTTACTGACAAAGAAGCTACAGACTATTTAGATTCCTTAAAAATATATTTGCCTTCTCAATTTACCTCAGCTTACAATCAGCAGATGTGGTCAAGATTCTGTTACCAGTATGAGGTGAAAAATAGGCTGAAGCAATGCTCTTTGTATGTTCAGTCAAAAAAATCACAGGCTGGCTTCCCCTGGAATTCAAGCGCCTTGCATCATAAATATGAATATCCCTGAAATAGGAGGAATAATTATCAATGTTGCCATAATAGATATAATAAGCCTCTAGAATAGAACTGAACATAAGTTATACACTGAAGAACATGTAAAACAAATACTGGTATAGAAAAAACTTAACTATTAGAAAAATCCGGGCGGCGCGTGGCTCAGTGGGTAGGCCACCAGCCCCGTATACTGAGAGTGGCAGGTTCAAACCCAGCCTCGGCCAAACTGCAACTAAAAAATAGCAGGCATTGTGGCAGGCACCTGTAGTCCCAGCTACTCGGGAGGCTGAGGCAAGAGAACTGCCTAAGCCCAGGAGTTGGAGGTTGCTGTGACCTGTGATGCCACAGCACTCTACCAAGGGCAATAAAGTGAGACTCTTGTCTCTACATTAAAAAAAAAGAAAATCTTGTAAGATATCTTACTATAAGATCTTCTATATCTTCCTATAGAAGATGTATGTAACCAGGGATAGGGAGACAAGTTTCTAGATAGTTTTCCAATCCAAGAAAAAGGTTTACACAGACAAGTCATATATTTATTTTTCTTAAAATTTGAAGAAAGTATTTTCTTCTCACAAAAGTAAAGATAAATGCATAGAATGCCAAAGTAAACAAAAATGTGTATTTCTTTCAGTATCTTGACTGTTTATTAAATCCAAGGGAATTTCTCATTAAAAAAAAAAAAAGTCACTCAGGAAAACCCTGATCAGAATAGAAAGGAAAATTAGAAAGTGTCTTTGACAACCAAACTAAACCAAGTATTCATGACATTAAAAGGCATAAGTCATAAAATTTTATAAAGAACATACCTCAATCCTGCAGTAACAAAAAATTGTCTATGCACTGGGTGTACATGAATAGTTCTTATTTTTGTCAAAGAAGAATCAATAAGTTTCTCATAAGAAGTTCCAGGTGTCCGTCTATCCACCAATGACATATTTCCATCCCAATGTGCTACTATTAAAGTAGAAGCATCTTCCGTCAAGAAGTCAAAGGAGGAAAAGGCACTTCTTTCATTTCTATACACCTAAGAATATCAGTAACAATCAGCTCATATAACATTCTACTTTTAATGAAAATCTATACATAAATTCTTTGGTAAAAGGGTCACAAAACACTTTAGCCAAATAACCTCATTTATCCTCCCATCACCCCCATAAGAAGCATAGGACAAAATGGAAACAAAATTAGGGCATTTAGGATATCTATTACCTCAAGAACTTATCCTTTCTATGTGTTGGGAACATTTTAGGTCCTCTCTACAAACCAGTGTGAAATATACAATATATTGTTAACTATAATCATGATACTCATCTATCAAACATTAGAATTTATTCCTTCTATCTACCTGTAAAAATTTTTTTAAACAGAAACAAAGGCACTGATCAGATGTCAGACTTGTCTACCATCAAATGGCCATCTACCCATGTCAGGGCTACATGCCAAATCTCTTCAACCCAAACCTCAATTCCAGATCTACCTTATGAAATTTACCAGGAGATAAACTGAACTAAATTTGACAAAATTGAAATTATATAAGTATTAATAACTATGCCAACCAGGTCTAAAATACATGGCTGAATGCTCATCTACTCCTGGTAGAAAAGTAAATAAAAATTTTTGACAATTAGTCTACATCTGTCAAAATATTTACTGCTTATACACTTTGACCCAATAATTTCACTAAGATATACAATGATGTCTGCTGCAAGAATGCTTATTATAAGAGCAAAAAGAAGTGATCTAAATATCTACCAACAGACAGCTGATTAAATAAATGATACATCTCTACTTTGAAATATCAGGCAATGCCTGAAAAGAATGAGGTAGTTTTGTATTACTAACTGTCCAAGATATACTTTTTACTGAAAAAAACACATTGCAAAAGGCAATGTATGTAGTATGACTCCATCAGTGTAAAGGAGAGAAAAAAAATCCTTACAGTCTTGTAAGTATATGTGCACTTTGTTAAAGCATACTTAAGATGGACAACAAGGTTACTTCTGGAGAAAGGGAATGGAAGAGGGTAAATTTACTTTCATACTCTATTTACTATAAATATCTTATCACAAGCATGCTGTTATAATTTCTTCATTATGCACAATCCTTAGTACTATAGCTTTGGGTTTAGGACTCATACACATAAAGAACAAAATATAAATATTTCTATCAAAAGTAAGAGAAAGAGAAAAAAAGAGAGGAAAATAAAAAAGTAAGAAAGAATGACCACAATTCTTATTCTTTTGTTTTTTTTGGGTTTTTGAGACAGAGTCTCACTCTGTTGCCCTCAGTAGATTGCTGTGGAGTCATAGCTTTTAGCAACCTCAAACTCGGGCTCACATGATCCTGCTGCCTCAGCCTCCCTAGTAGCTGGGACTAGAAGCTACTAGTCACAGTGCCCAACTAGGGTTGGTTTTTTTTTTTTCTATTTTTAGTAGAGATTGGGTCTCACTCTTGCTCAAGCTGGTCTTGAACTCCTAAGCTCAAGCAATCCACCTGCCTTGGCCTCCCAGAAGGCTAGGATTACAGGCATGAGCCACCATGGCTAGCCTTCAATTCACACTGAGGAATCATGAATTACTGCTGATTTTGTTTTAGTAAGTATTATTATGAACTAAGATTAATAAATGAATATACTAAAGGCATCACAATCTCCCCACACCCCCAAAAGCCCAATCCATACAAATGAAACAAAGTATTCAGTCACTGTATTAAAATGATTAAGAGCAAGGGCTTTGAAGTCAGACAAACCCGAGAGCACTCTAGTTCTGACTTCTACATCCTTCAGCAACCCAATAAACCTGTCTATTAAATGAGATAACATTAATAATATAAATATAAAACACACTTAGGATAATGCCTAGCACATGGTAACTGTTCAATCAGTAGTATCAGGAACAAATTACTCTAACAACATGAATGAATTTTAAAAGCATTGTGCTAGATGAAAGAAGCCAAACAAAAAGCTACATATCATATAATTCCATTTGTTTGACTTTCTGGAAAAGGCAAAATTATAGGGACGGTAACCTCATCAATGGTTGCCAGGGAGAGAAGAATGAGTACAAAGGTCATCTGGGGGGAAGACAGAGATTTTGTCTTGATTGATGGTGGTTACACAGGTGTAAACAATTAACCAAAACTCATAGAATTAGAATTTTTACCTAAAAAGATAAATTTTAATGTAATTTATACTTTAATAAACTTGACTTTAAACAAAATAGGTAAAGAACACTCACAACTCAATAGACCAGCTTGGGCAATATAGAGAAACCCTGTCTCAAAAAAAAAATTTCAATTCATAAGAATTCTATTGCTGAGCTAATCTGATATAGTTAAGCAAATCTGAAAGCTCATCTTAAACAATATGTTTGTTGTAAACATTCAGTAGTATAGAATAGATATTTAAGTAGTAGACCCAAACACAAGCTGGAGTATCCAATATAATGAGGATTCCTCAGATCTTTGGAAGGCTCTGGCCTTCCCCACCAGAAATCAAACTGATGACAACATCTCCAAGGAAGCTGGGCATTGTGTTTACACCTATAATATTAGCATTTTGGGAGACTAGGAGGTTGTAGTAAGCTATGACTGCACCACTACACTCCAGCCTAGATGACAGAGCGAGAACCTTTTTTCTTTTCTTTATTTTTTTATAGACAGAGTCTCACTTTGTCACCCTCAGTAAAGTGCCGTTTGACATCACAGCTCACAGCAACTTCCAACTCTTGGGCTTAGGCGATTCTCTTGCCTCAGCATCCCAAGTAGCTGGGACTACAGGAACTGACCACAATGCCTGGCTATTTTTTTTGTTGCAGTTTGGCCAGGGCGGGGTTCAAACACACCACCCTTGGAATATGGGGCCAGGGCCCTACTCACTGAGCCACAGGCGCCACCCAAGAGAACCATTTTTCTAAAGAAAAAAGAAAAATCTCATAGGGTCAGATGTGGTAGCTCATGCCTGTAATCCTATCATTCTGGGAGACAGAGGAAGGAGGATCCCTTCAGCTCAGGAGTTTTAAACCAGCCTGAGCCAAGAGCAAGATGCCCGGCTCTACTAAAAACAGAAAAAATTCCAAGTGTTGTGGCAGGCACCTATAACCCTGGCTACTCAGCAGGCTGAGATATGAAGATCATTTGAACCCAAGAGTTTAAGATAGCTGGGGGCTAGGCTGACACTACAGCACTTTAGCCTGGCCAACAGAGATGGTCTGGTGATCTAGGTAGAGTGACCACAGAGTGGTAGATAGAATGGGTTGGTCAGGAACATAAGTCCCCAAGATCTTTCAACTATTCTTAAACAAACTTACACTTAATCAGATTTGCATGGGTTAGACCAGGAAAGACCTTAACCTCAAAAGATGGTTACAAATAAACTTGGCTAGCCAGGCATGTAGCCTCAACACCTATAATCCTAGCATTGTGGAAGGCCAAGGCAGGTGGATCACTTGAGCTCAAGAGTTCAAGACCAGCCTGAGCAAGAGCAACACCCTGTCTCTTAAAAAAAAATAGCCCGGAGTTGTGGCAGACAACTGTAGTCTCAGCTACTTAGGAGGCTGAGGCAAGAAGATTACTTAAGCCCAAGAGTTTGAGGTTGCTGTGAGCTATGACGCCATAGTGCTCTAGCAAGGGCAACAGAGTAAGATTCTGTCTCAAAAAAAATGCAAATAAACTTAGCCTAAGGTCCTTCCTCTGGGTGTTCCTTTCTTGCCATTGTGCAATTATGATGATGTACAATGGCAGTTGTTCATTCTAACTTCACCAGAGAAAAACAGCTAAGCTAACTTCTTTACCATGAGATACATATGACATATAAAACATAATAAATGTTAGCTAGAAGATGGGGCAGCGCCTGTGGCTCAGAGGAGTAGGGCACGGGCCCCATATGCCTGACATGGTGGGTTCAAACCCAGCCCAGGCCAAAAACTGCAAAAAGAAAAAAAAAAAAGTTAGCTAGAAGACAACAGAAAACCAAATTGTGTAGCCTTTTGTGTAGCCTACAAACCAAAAGTTTTAGGTAAACATAATATAGTACCATTATGTAATGAATTGCTCTATTGTCTTTTTTGTTATGCATAAGACACATCCCTACAAAATTCAAATCTGCAAAGGTCAGGAAAGATGAAAAAAAGTATAATATTCCAATTTTTTTTCTGAATAAAGATGTATAAGTTTTAAGCCTAAAAATAGAAGTATGTGTTATTTTAAGTTTTTGCAAAAAGAAAAATTAATAAGAGCAAACATTTACTATGTATCAGGCACTAAGTATTTTATCTGGATTAACTCATGTAATCCTCATGACAATCCTATAAAATAGATACTGTTACTGTTAGAGCTGCATGGTGGCTCAAGGCAGTCAGAATAATTGAAAAGAGCAAGTAAAGTTTTAGCAAGACAAAGGTTTATTAACAACTTGCACAGCAACCAGACCCCGTCCTAGTGACTGCAGGCCCTGAGGAAAGTGCAGCTTGGTGTTTTATATACAATTTTGAGGAGTATCAGCTCTTCCTCAGACACCTCCAAGGGTCTCAATTAACTGTGTTCTCAAAACAACCCACCTGCAAGGTCTTGAAAACAACCTACCTACAAGATCTTTATCAGCCTCATTCTCATAACAACCTAGGTCAGCCTGACCCAAACCAATCCCAAAAGGCCTAACCATATCCATCATCCACCCTCATATCTAGCTAACTGTCTAACATTACTATCTCATTTCACAACGAAGGAAAGTGAGGCACAAAGAGGTTAAGTAAGTAACTACTCAAGGTCACACAACTATTTAAAAATGGTCTGGGATTTGAACTTAGATAGCAATATAGTTCTAAAAGTCCCTATGCAACAGCATGGTACTGGCACTAAAACAGAGCGGTAGATTTATGGAACAGAATAGAAAACCAAGAGATGAATCCAGCTACTTATCATCATTTGATCTTCGACAAGCCTATCAAAAATATTCAGTGGGGGAGACTCCCTATTTAACAAATGGTGCTGGGTGAACTGGCTGGCGACCTGTAGAAGACTGAAACTGGGGGCAGCACCTGTTGCTCAAAGGAGTAGGGTGCCAGCCCCATATGCCGGAGGTGGCGGGTTCAAACCCAGCCCCAGCCAAAAAAAAAAATTCTAATAAGTCTGAAACTGGACCCCCACCTTTCACCATTAACAAAAATTGATTCTCTCTGGATAAAAGATTTAAACTTAAGACATGAAGCTATAAAAATACTAGAAGAGAGTGCAGGGAAAACACTTGAAGAAATTGGCCTGGGAGAATATTTTATGAGGAGGAGCAATTGAAGCAACACAAAAAATACATTACTGGGATCTGATCAAACTAAAAAGCTTTTGCACAGCCAAGAGCACAGTAAGTAAAGCAAACAGACAACCTTCAGAATGGGAGAAGATTTTTGCAGGTTATGCTTCTGACAAAGGTCTGAGAACTAGAATCTACAGGGAACTCAAACTAATCAATAAGAATAAATAACCCTTTTTTTTTTTTTTTTTGAGATTGAAGCCTCAAGCTGTCCTCCTGGGTAGAGTGCCATGGCATCACAGCTCACAGCAACCTCCAACTCCTGGGAATAACCCCATTTCTATGTGGGCAAGAGACTTGAACAGAAACTTCTCTGATGAAGACAGGCACATGGCCTACAAACATATGAAAAAATGCTCATCATCCTTAATCAGAAGAGAAATGCAAATCAAAACCACTTTGAGATATCATCTAACTCCAGTAAGATTAGCTCACATCACAAAATCCCAAAACTACAGATGATGGCATGGATGCAGAGAGAAGGGAACATTTCTACACTGCTGGTGGGAATGCAAGCTAATACAGCCTTTTTGGAAAGAAGTTTGGAGAACACTCAAGGAACTAAAAGTAGACCTACCATTTGATCCTGCAATTCCTCTACTAGGTATATACCCAGACAATCAAAAATTATTTTACAACAAAGACATCTGCACCAGAATGTTTATAATAGCCAAGACATGGAAACAGCCCAAGTGCCCACTAACCCATGAATGGATTAACAAATTATGGTATATGTACACCATAAAATACTATGCAGCCATAAAAAAGATGGAGACTTCAGATCTTTTATGTTTACCTGGATGGAGATGGAACATATTCTAAGTAAAGTATCCCAAGAATGGAAAAAAAAAAGTATCCAATGTACTCACTACTATACGAAATCAATATATAACCACCTCCACAATCATACAAATGGCAAAACATAACTATAGTCCATAAAGTAGAAGGGAAGAGGAGAGAGGGGTGGGAAGAGGGTATTTGGGAGAAAAGAAGGTATTCAGGGGACCCCACCTAATGTGCATGATGCAATGGTACATTTCAAAAACTATTAAGAAATGAGTATAATTGTGATGGATGTGTTACTTGGTTCAATGTAAATATTTCACATTGTATACTGAAGCAATACCTTGAACCCCAATGCCTCAATACACAAAGTTATGATTTAATAAAAAATAATTATTAAAAAAAGTCCCTATGCTATATCACTGGACTGGTATAATAATCATTCATGTGACATTTCATAAAGAATCCAGATTATCATCTGAGTTTGGAATGTAAACACATTAATATTTACCTCTTCAAAAATGCCCCTGGAAAAATCCCCACAGCGTAATGTGCCATCATAGCTCAGTGACAATAGGTGGGCTGGATTGGCAGGTGAGAAGTAAAGACAGCTCACTGGCTGACTATGGGGCTGAAAAACATAAACTGCATCTTCTTTAGGTTGCTGGGTCTGAAAAAGAGTTGGGGGTGGGGACAGAGACAAAAAACTAATGAAAACGAATAACATTTGTTTTATTATGTCACTAAATTATTTACATCGGAATTGCATTGTCTTTTCTTAGTCTATATAATTAAACCCACTCTCCCATTCAGAAAATCACAACTAGAAACTTTATACTGTCACTAACATACCTTTTTTCTAATTTTCAGTCCAACAATACAAAGTCACATTAACTTCTAACAATGTACAGCTTTTTATAACAGCAAACTAGTTCATAAACCACTGCTCAATATGACTTCAGATCATGGAAATGTGAAATCTACTCTTTTTTTCTTGGAGACAGTGTCTCACTGTCACCCAGGCTAGAGTGTCATGGTGTCAGCCTAGCTCACATCAACCTCAAACTCTAGGGCTCAAGAGATCCTCTTGCCTCAGCCTCCCAAGTAGCAAGAGTGCTACCATGTACAGGCAGCTAAATTTTTCTAATTTTAGTAGAGACACGGGTCTCGTTCTTGTTTAGGCTGGTCTCAAACTCCTGAGCTCAAAGGATCCTCTCACTTCAGCCTCCCAGAGAGCTAGGATTGTGGTGTGAGCCAACTGTGCTCTTTATTTCACACATGGCATATTACTTTCTAAAACATGGCTTGGCGCCTGTACCTCAGCAGCTAGGGCACTAGCCATGTACACTGTGGCTGGCCAATTTGAAGCAGGCCCTGGCCTGCTAAAACAACAATGACAACTACAACCAAAACATAGCTGGGCATTGTGGCGGGCACCTGTAGACCCAGCTACTCGGGTAGCTGAGACAAGAGAATCGCTAAGCCCAAGAGTTTGAGGCTGCTGTGAGCTTTGACAGCATGGCACTATACCAAGGGTGACATAGTGAGACTCTGTTTCAAAAAAATCCAGTATCAATACCATTATCACTTTGCTTCCTTAAGTAGGCATCTATATTAACATTAACATATCATTCTCAAAAGGTCATGGCATAAAATAATAGTTTTAAAAGTATTCTACCTTCTAAATACACCATAGAAATGCAAACCAATCCCAAATAGCCTAACCATATCCATCACTATTGAATACTTTACTTGAAAAGAGCAAGTAGGGCGGTGCCTATGGCTCACTGGGTAGGGTGCTGGCCCCATATGATGAGGGTGGTGTGTTCAAATCCAGCCCTGGCCAAACTGCCCACAAAACTGTGGGCGGTGCCTGTGGCTCAGTAGGTAGGGCACTGGCCCCATATACTGAGGGTGGCGGGTTCGAACCCAGCCCTGGCCAAACTACAACAAAATAGCCAGGTGTTGTGGCAGG